ATTTATAATATTAGTAAGATATGAAAGCGTATAAGGAGGTTTCTTAGAAATTGTCTCGGAAAAGTCTTAAAGGATCGTAACGAAATTTGACAAAGTCTGGAATAACACAGAGATTACTTATGGTTAGTTTTTTTATTTAATTCCACGCGGACTTAATCGCGGGTATAAACTAGTATTAATATTTTTGCTTTTTACAGTTTCCTTGTAAGAAAATTTTTAATTCTCAAAATAAAAAAAACTACTGTAATGATTCCAAAAAATGTCCTTTGCTTTCACTATTTTCATGTACGATTCTAAAAAACAAGGTATATTTTTTCGATATGTTATGTATCAATTGACTTCTATTTCAGTTTCTCATGAACGCGTACTCCGAGATAAAGATAAACAATGACATATCGAACGCTAACATTGACACGAAGGAGCAGGAGGCCATGAACCTGTGGGAGGCGCCCGACAAGGAGGGCGCGCAGCCCGCCGCGCCCCTCACTAACACCACCACACTCATAAGGTAACTATTCTTACTAATAATGTTTACAGATCGTAGATCGTATTCTCCCTTAAGGAGAAATAAACTGCTTGTCCCAAATAAATCAGTAAAGAGTATTTAAATAAAAAAATTAATGGAATAGTATATTATATTACTAATGCAACTTGACTCTTTAATACGCATGTGGTATTCAAATTTTCACAAACTAGTTTTCGCCCGCGACTCCGTCCGCGTGTAATTAAAAAAATACAAAAGTGAGTAGTCATGTGTTCTTCCATACTATCTTCTACGTCTATGCTAAATTTCATCGAGAACCGTTCAGTCGTTTAAGCTACAAACTCCATCCATCCATCTAAACATTCGCATTTATAATATTCGTAAGATTACTTCATCTATTTCTCTTAGAATCCATTGGACAGTCTGAAGCGTAAAGCAGAGAATTTTTTTTAATGCAAATGAAAACGAGCTATATGTTATTGAAATAAGGTTTAATTTTACTTTGCACGTTTTTTCATATCAAAATCAAGCATGTAACATCGTTACAAGTTAAAGTAAACCTTATTGCAATTGTTTAAAGCTCAATTTCATTTGCGATCTTGTCTGGTATGAACTGTCTCTTGCCTTGCAGAGCTCTATACGAGCGTGTAGTAGTACTGGAACAACGTAACCGCGAGCAGGACATAGTGCTGGCAAACTTGACTAAACAGCTGTCTGCGCTCGCCGTGGCCAAGGTGAAGCAGAACAGCGACATGCTGCTGCGATACTGCGCTGGAAACTACGTCTGGCGAGTCGACAACTTCCAGCAGAGGCTTGACGCTATGCTTAAAGATAATTATAAAATGCTCTACAGCCCCGGATTTTATACATCGCCTAATGGATACAGGTTGGATATTGAGTTATTTTTTGTGAAAATTTTACCAGATTTAGAACTATGGCACATGTGACATGACAAAAGAAAAGTAGTTTTTTTTAATTAAACATAGTAGTGTAGATGGTATATACATAGTATGTTATTATGTTTAACTCATGAAAAAGAAAAGGTTTTTTAATTAGTAATAGTTTTTTAAACATTCTATTTGTTAAAAAATAATTGTTTTTTTTTACAAAAACGAGACTACAAAGCAAACAAGGATATGGGTAAAAATTTATAACTATAGCATGTTTTGAATTGTAATGTTTTGTATTGAAAAAATGAAATACACATTTTAATACAAATAAATTTTATTTAGGAGCAATTTTATATCTTCTATATTAAATGTATTTTGCAGGTTCTGCGTTCGTTTAAACATATCACCTCAGAACCCACTGTTCTTTGCACTGCATGTGCACTTGATGAAGACAGAGAACGATGACTGCTTGGAGTGGCCATTCAATGGAAGAATCTCCTTCGCTATGATCAACCAAGTGGACGGGGAGCGGACACAGAGGGACACTATGATGTCCAACTCCAGTCTGGTTGCATTCCGGAAGCCCAGCGCTGAGATCTGTCTCAGAGGCTTCGGGTACACCGAGTATGCTCTACTCAGTGATGTGCTTAGGAACGGATTTGTGAAAAATGATGTGCTTGTCATTAAAGTTACTATTAAATGTGTGTAGTTAAATGTTTATAAAAGTTATATTGTCTAAATATTGTTATTGTGACTGTACTTTTCATGTTTATTAGGTACAGTCACTGTCACTGCCCGGTTGTAATATGGCAAAGAAAAAGTCCACCAAGTTTCAATTTCATGTTCTTAATCCTTGCAGTTAAAACTTCCAAGTATTAGAATCAAAAGAGATTTGTTGAAAACATCCAACAAATCACTTTTGACATCAAGTCATCGACTCACTGTCAGAAATAAGAAGGTTGAAAAAATGTAGTAAACATCAGCTACCAATTTGATATTTGTTACGTTCAGTCCATATAATAAATGTTATGGAGAGTTTATAAGTTAATCTTTATGTAGTTTTTTAACGACATAATCTAGTTTTTCACTTTATTATCGATTTATAAGTAAATATGTTATGTGTACATTTTAAATTTGTATTTATCATACTTGGGCCTGTCCCACCATATTGTTAATTGTCTGATAACAATTAAATGTGTAAAAAGTAAAATATGTGATGGAAATCTCGGAAATCGTTCCCATATCTGACAGTGACGTCATTTTTAAGCTATCTGAGCCTCTATCAGTGGTGGAACAGGTCTTAAATATTGTATTTTTATAGCAACCTTTTTATTAAGTGAAAATATATTGACATAGATTATTTCAAATGAGATTATATTTACGTTTGTACTTATTTCGTAATTAATAAAATACTATTTATTTGGTACATCCATTATTTTACTTAATTTTTCTAGTTATCTCCGTCCAATTTAACAGAATCTTATATTTAATTTGTATTTAAAATGATTCATATAATTATGCTAGATCTGATACCTTGTTACATTATTCGTTACTTAACTTGTGTTTTAAACTAACATTCCATACTTTTTACAATATATATGGTTAGTGATTTTTTATGAAAAGTATTTAACGGTATTATTTCAGTATTCATTTTATACTGTGTTATACAGCACAATAAAATATTTAGTTAAATAGAATTTTTCCAATAAAGAAATGTTTGTTGTAAGTTATTTTAAAATTTATAATATTTTATATTATATATACATTCCATTGAAACGATATTAATTCCACTTTTTATGTGTCTAAAGTTCTCAATGTTTTTTTTAAACTGGAATAATATAAGTGTTCATTTTATTAAATCTCATGTTTTAATTATTTTTTTTTTATTAACATTGTAAACATATCTTTATGAGGTGCTGTATTGTACGAGTTGTTATTTATTGGTGTTATTCTTTAATAAATGTACTAAAAATTGATGTTTCTTTATTATTCCTTAATAATAAGATAGTGTTGAGTAAAAAGACTTAACTATGGCCTAGTCACCCTAACCTAAGTGGGGAGGTATAGCTGGTGATAATGCACTAATGAGGGGCAAAGAAACTCACTTTTGACATTTTGTATAGTAGTAATTAGAATGTATCGAAATAAAACATTTATTATGAATCCATTGTTTTATTTATCATCGGTTACAAAATACGGTAATTAAGCTTACAAGATATACTTAATAAATATAGGAATATATCTAGCATTTATATAAAAAAACTAATATACCAAAGACACTCAAATTCATATCACATTCAACCATCACAATTTCGTCCACTACAACTAAACTACACGTTCTAGAAAACAATTTGACACAGATTATGGCGCCAATTTCACATAACTAAATATAATTAAACTTATTTATGAAAATACATGATTAAAATGAATAGACTCAATGACTGTAGATCATTCATTAGTGTTTCCCGTTGGGCTATAAATTTATACGATCAATCGACCCAAAGGGAAATAATATATATTGGGTCAACGATTCCTGCCGCCGAGTTTTGTCATCGGACAACACGACAGACCGCCAGGTACCATCCTCACCATCTCGATGGCTGGCATTCCACAACCGTGCGGTTTTCGCGGAACTTCCTGCCCCGCACAGCCGCGTTGTGGAACGGTCTGTCCTCGGCGGTATTTCCAAACCAATTCGACTTAAGGTCCTTCAAGAAGCGAGCCTATCATTTCCTCAAAGGCCGGCAACGCATCTGTAGTTCCTCTGGTGTTAAGAATGGCCATGGGCGGCGTTGTCCACCTTGGTGTTCACGCCGCTCGTTTGCCCCCTTTTTTTACAAAAAAAAATCTACATAATGGGGTAGTTTAAAACATTCAATTCAAAACCAATTTTATCACTAAGCTATATATCTGGAAGCTAAGAATGTTTCCTACATAATTTTACATCCGATGGAGTTCACAGATTATTATGGTTTTTAATATAAATAAAAACGTCATATTTCCTAATGTGCGCCCTTAAATAAAATCATTATATTCGTAACACATATTATAATTAAGACATAAAAGTGACTCATGGTATTGTCTATAAGATTCTGCAGGCAATTTTGCATCGTTAAAAACAAAAAATAAAACTAATCCATTACATTGATTCCTATTAACCACCATTCTTCAAACATACTTATAATGAACGAGACCAAATGACTAAGTTAAGACAAATAAAATAATGAACACCAGACAGAAAAAACACAAATATTCCAATGTTATATTTTAACATTTAAATTAGATTATTGAAATAAATATGTATCATATTCGAATTGTATTTTCTCACACAAAGTTAGGTCATAAGTCATATTTGACCCCACATTTTAATTGAAACGTAAACATTAGAATAACGGCTTAGAAAATAAACTAAAAGACGAAAATGGCAACTGATACAAAGATTAATTGGAATGTTCCAGTACTGAAACATTTGGAGTGTACACAAGTCGGTATATACTTCGTATGACGTCACGACCTAACCTACAACATATTTATCACAGTAACGGTAAAATGCATGAATTAATGTCGAATGTAATAACACTAAAGTTAAACAAACAGATTTTTTTATTGTAAGCAGTGACATAGACATTTTTTTAGTTATCAGACAAGACTACTTTTTTCGTATTTTTGTAAAACACTGTGATAAATGAACAAATGAATATTGGGCCCCTACTAAAATATGATTGGAATATTTATTTTATAAATATTATTAACTTTATACTTTTAGAGTTTTTAACGTGATCAATTTATGTTGATACTTTAAAATACAAAAATTACAAAAAAGTATATATTAAATCAATTACTTTCGTATCTAAATTGCATTTTTGCATGTTCATACTATATTTTATTGAAATTGTCTGACCACAATCACGCTCAAGATATCTTAAATTTTTTCATGGTTTAAATTTAAAAAGTAAATATAAAAGTTACAAAAAATTTCTTAATATTATACATTTAAAATATATTACACATTATCATTTTGAAATTTCTTTCATTTCGTCCAATATAAATAACGGTTTTCTTTCATCTCAAGATACAATTGAAAATATATAAAAATCTAATATTATTTTAAATACAGAAATCTTATAGATAAGCGTTACACAGTAAGACAATATAAAAATAGTTAAGCAGAAGTTTAATGCTACTTGAGATAATTACTTAAAACTAATAAAGTAATTTATTTTGAAATTAAAATCTTAATAATTAATAATTGTAAATTACATTTCAATATGTAAAAATATTAAAGAGTTAGGCAATAAAACAAAAATCCTTACATTAATAAAGTACTATTGTAGAAGCTTGCGTTATTTTTCAAAAGCAGCATTAAATTTGAGACCTTTAGAAAATTCCTATGATTTATTACATCAAGATATTCCATCAAGAATAATCCCCCAATATCAAAAAGAACTACACCGATATCCCTTAAAACTTACGGAATAAAAACATAGAATCGCAAAAAAAATTAAAGCCAAACGACATCTTAGTTATCAAACGTCTTTGCTGGATGTTTTGCAAGTCATTTTAATGTCTGGTTCACACTTTGCCAGTACAGTTAGACAGTAAGTCCGGTTCACACTTGGCCAGTTAGACAGTTGTGAAGGCAAGCGACACTCATTGTGTTAGCGGTCACACAACAACTGAACTAATCGATGTAAACCATGCAATAGCGCAGACTGGGCAAGGCCTGTATATGTTGACTAGCTTTAATTAGTGTTCACACTATTGAATGCCAGTACAGTTGGGAAGTACAGTCCAACTGTATTGCTATATGTGAAGCAGGCATTATTGGGCCACTGGCTTTGTGTAATTATTGTTTTGCGTTCATACGGAGCTGCTGGAGTCTCCGGGGAAGTGCATGAGGTTGTCGCCGCTGCAGCTGGGAGTGGGCGAGGAGGGCGGGTCGAGGGAGGCGCGGGACGCGGAGCTGAAACTACTCGAGCTCAACTCCTCCGCCTCCGGCTCGAAACGACCCCCGCTCGTGTTACCTATAAGCGTTTGCACAATTACGAGAATATTTCCACAATAGCCAATTAAAAAAAAACAAAAGTACTTATTTACTTGATTAAATGTGTAAAGATATAAATTTAATGTTAACGTTTTATTAAGTGGGATTAAAACAAAGATAGTATTTCTAAGGTATTTCCATACACTGTTGGCTTACTTTTTAAATTTCAATTTATAAACAATTGCAATTTCTCTTTTTAAATAGGGAATACACAGCTATTGTGATATTTGGGACATGTACGGTTCTTAGATTTAAGTTTTAATAATATATGTTGATCATTTTTAACTGGTCTTTCTGTGATAATTTGTATATGTGTGTTTATTGTTATATTTAGAGGGTAGAAATAAAACACAATAAATAGTTTTTGAATTTCCAAAATGCTCATTTTATTAATTTAGCAATATTTCAAACATTCCAAGACTACAACAAATGTGTCTGATACAAGGCAGTTAGCAAAGAGTTAAAAGTTAATACTTGAACAACATTACAGGGGTCAAATTTACTTAAAAACATCACCTACAGCTTAAAATTTCTATTTTATCCAAAAAATTTATAAGGCTACTTTGTACAAAAAGTTTTCATACGTAATAATAATACTTTTTTGTACAAAGTAATCCAAAAAATGATTTACTTAGAAATCTGAAATAACATTTATTATTAAGCGGCCCGTAAAACAATTTTTCGTCAAATTATTTTATAGTATGCGGCTTTTTTACGCGGATTTCTTTGTCGATACACTTTTGACAAAAAATTTTTTTACTGAGCCAAATATGTTAGACAGTCAGAATTGTGGTACAATAAAAGAATTTACAATCCAAAAGTGCATTATTAAAATCTCATGTTATTTTTTTTTTGGTTGTAAGAAAAAAAAATATTCAAAAAAATAAAACGCCATGTCTTTATCAGGTTTCCTATAAACCAAAATTATAACCTAAATACGAAAAAGTAAAATTTCGACAATATTTTTAAAATATTATGCACCAATCAAATTTGCCTATTAAAACTAAATAAAAAATAATCAAATAAATATGTCGTGTAAATTTTTATAAAAAATAAATATTTGTCATGTTACAAACATTGTTATAAACATGGTAAATAAAATAAAAGAAAAAAATCTTTGCGTATAATACTTAATTGAACTATAGCTGTGCATTGTAGTCTTAACATAAATTAGATATTGACAAACTAAAAAATTTAAATATTTCACTTTGATCACAATTTACATATTACAATATAACTATTGAAATTTTGTACAATGGAGGTATCTTATACCAAAAAAATCAGGTAAACTTGCAGAATACAATACACAAAGCTGGCAATACATAATACTGAGTACACAAACTGATCTGTCACAAATGACAGTTGAGCCGCCATTTTTCTTATCTCTTTCTCACATACGTCGGTCTCGCTCATATTGTATATTATTTGCTAAGATGGAAAGATCAACGATAACAGTTTGCATACAATAGTAAAAACAATCTTTAAGCGGACATTTGTGTTTTAAAAACTAATAAATAAATATATGTACAAATTTGAACTAATAAAAAGGATAAATATGTAATAATTAATTTTAAAATGATACAGTACGAGATTCTATTTTGTACAGTAAAGATACATTGAGTTATTTTTTGTCTTACTGACCTCAATAATTTAAACCCAATAGCCATTAGTGGATACAGCGTTCATTATTTGAAATGTAAGCATTAGAGTCTAATTAATCTACAAACTAAATAAATTAGAGAAATAAGTACCATAAGAAGCACGGCATTAAAACTATTTTGCTATTGTGAAGATAGTAAATTGATGTAGACATACAACAATACAGAGGTCGATTCTCTTCAACAATGTGCAACAACAAATCTCAAAAAAGTCTAAAATTTTCAAGTCAAAAAATACAAGTCATGATTTTCCATGACAATTGTAACTTTCTAAATTAAGATTTTATTACATTAATTTTAAAAAAATAGTAAAACATTTTGACGTAAAATTGATATTTTTTACCTAATAAAATCTAAGAATTGAGTATACATTTTAAAGATGTAAATTAAATTACCTTCAGAAGTTATTTTTTTTAGTTATTTTCCTTTCACCTTTTTTGTTATTTTGCTACATTTTTATATTTTTTATAAGATTTTTTTTTTGTGATAAAACTGTGATAAGATACCGCTAATTCTCAAAACAGGCGATATAATTGTCCTACATAATTATTATTACGCAATAAACACAGTTTAAAGTTTTTGATTTTTTTTTTAATTTTACATGTGCATTATTTATTATTGCCACACTTAACTAATTATTACTTGCCTAATAGCAGCAGTTTCGAATATCCGTTTTCATAGCCTAAGTTAAAATAGAAGCTCAAATATCTGAACACATTTTCTATTATTTTTTCTTCCTACGTGATTTTTTAGATTTAGATTGCTTTGGCGAAGACTGAATTAAATTTGCAGTACCTTTCTTGTCGTCCTTATCGCTGTCTGTAGACAAAACTGGTGACGTCACATCATCATCAGATGACTTTTCCATTACTTCTTTGTCTTTCTCTGACTTACCTTCTTCATCGATCTTTACTTCTTGAGAGGTAATTTTATCAGTTTCTATCACACTACAACTTTTTTCCTTCTTTACAGGCGATTTTTCAATATCGATCAAATTAAATGTATTAGAGTCGATAACTTTAGCTTCTTTCATCGACAAGAGTATATCGTCAAGGCTGATTTTGCAAATTGGACTTTCAACTTTTACATCTGCTACTTCAAGCAAGCTATCTTTCATGACTTCTAGTTTGAATTCATCTAATCCGAATCCCATACCGTCTAATGGTGGAAGTTCCTGAATTACCGAATGATGTTCTTCAACAAAATTTAAACCCGAAGGCTCACCACATTCTGCCACTATAATATCTGTCCTTTTACAAAGCTCAGCTAACTTCTCTTGAAGTGATGTTTCCACAATTGTAGATGTTTGTGCTTCTCGTTTTAACTTCATGTCATCTTCTACATTCTTTTTAATAGTCGTCTCTATCGGAACTACATTTTTATCTGTTTCTGGTTTTTTAACATTTTTAGATGCGGCTATGGTACTCCAAGACTTTATTGGCGGTTTAACGGTTGTTTTAATTTCCTTGCTTGTATCTATGGTAGGTTGAGGTGATTTTTTACGTGGTTTATTAGCCCTTGTAATTTGAATATCAGGATAATCGTCTTCTGTTGTATTTATAACGTAAACTTCTTTAGATTCGGATGCAGATATTTCTTCTGGTTGCCCGACATTACTTGGTAATTGTGATTTTGTTTTTGTTGTTTTTTCTTTACCTATTGAGCAAATTTCATCTAACTTACCTTCGGTAGTTTCGACATTCACTATTTCTACTGCCGATGCTTTTCTTGTGTTTTCTTTTTTAAAGGATCTATAATCAGATAGTAAATCAAATTCACTTTTGTTTAGATCGGGTTGATTTTGCGTTTTGGATTTAGTCATTGGCTTAATTTCTTGTATAGCTTCTTCCAGATTTTGTTCGTAATCATTTTTATCGTGTATATTAATTTTCGGAGACCGTGACTTCTTATTTTTAGATAAGAAAGAGGTCGATGGGTCATACTCTTCGAATGGTGAAGAAATAGAAACTAATTCGCCCGTATCTGCCGATTGCGTGTCTTCTTCTATATTGTGAATTTCTACAAAACTATCCTCATCATCTTTTGTATTAGTATCTTCTTGAGACTTTCGCGTTTTTCTACTTTTCTTAATTTTAATTTTATTATCTTCATTTTCTTTTGTAATCAAAACAGATTCTTTTGTTATGTCCTTTGTTTCATTTGAAACCACATCCCAAGCTTTCGTCTCATTTTTGCTGATAGTTTCTGTAATACGCTTTTCTTTAATTACATTTAACGGTTCAGTATCAAACTCTGGTATAGAAGTCTTTTTTATTTCTGTTACTCCGCTTGAAATTGGTTTCGCTTCTATATCACAATGTTTGTCTGCTTTAAGATCAAAGTTATGCGGGGCTAGTATTGATTCTGTTACTTGCTTCAATTCTTTTTTGTCTAAGAGTTCTTTCGATTTTCTTGCCGTAGTCTCACTTTTCTTGATAGGATTATCATTCCTATTTTTGATACCTACAATTGATTTATTCTCTTCTCTGTCTTTCTTTGTTGATTTATTATCAACATCTGGTTTTTTATTATCCTTAAAACTAATGTCACTAGCAGCTTTCTCACTAACTGGTAATTTGGTGGGAGATTTCTTACATCTAATTCGGGCCGTCGGTTGAATATCATCCGACGACCTATTCGATTTTGGCAGTGATATAGTTGTAACCTCACGCTCCAACTCGACGTCCGCCGAGGAACCCACACGTACATCGCGCTTGCATTCCATCTCCTCTTTACCGAGATCGTTACTTAAACTAACTTCTACATTTTC